TTTTCCCCCACTATGACGTCATAGATCCAAGTAGATTTTCCCTCACTATGACGTCAAGAGTCCTCAAAGTTAATTTCCCCCAACTATGACGTCATAAGAGTCAACTTAAATTTTCACCCCTACACGTCCATACGAGTCAAGTAAGATTTCCCCACACTATGACGTCATAGAGTCACAATAATTATATTCCACACCACTATGACGTCATAAGAGTACAATAAATTTACCCACTATGAGTCATAGAAGTCAACTAAAATTTCCACCACTAATGACGTCCCAGTAGAAGTCCCATGTAAAATATTCCCCTATAACTATAGACGTCAATAGAGTCAAGATAAATTTTCACCAACTACTATAGAACGTCAATAGAGTCAAGTTAAAAATTTCACCCTTATATGACGTAAAATAGAGTAAACTAAATTATCTCCCCCAACTAATGACATGTCAATAGAGTGCAAGTAAAATTTTCCCTCACTACTATGGAAAAGTCACTAGAGTCAAGTATAAATTATCCCCTAAAAACTATAACGTCAATAGAGTCCAACTAATTTCCCAAAAACTTAAAATGACGATCAAATAAGAGTCAGTAAAATTTTCTCACCACTAATGACGATCATAAAGATCAAAGTAAGGAATTTCCCACCCACTATGAACGTCATAAGAAGTCAAGTGAAAATTTCCCCCACTAATGACGTCAATATGAAAGGTTCAAGTAAAGAATTTTCCCCACTATAGACGAATCCCATAGAAGAAATAAGTAAATTATTTTCACCACTCACTAATAGAAACGTCATAGAGTCAAGTAATTTCCCCCAACTTATGACGTAACAATAGGAGTCAACTAAAAAATTTACCCCCCTATGAACGTCATAGAGAAGTCAAGTAAAATTATTCCCCCACTAATGAGTCATAGATATCAAAAAGTAAAAATTCCCCACTAAATGAACGTACATAGAGAGACAAGTATTTCCCCACTATGACCGTCAATAGAGTCAAGTAAACATTTACCCCCACTATGACGTTCAAGAGTACAAGTAAAATTTAACCCCCACAACTATGACGTCATAGATCAAGTAAAATTTACCACACCACACAAACCATGACGATGATAGAGATCAAAAGTAATTATTCCCTCAAACTTATGAAACGATCATCAAGAGTCCAAGTAAATTTCCACCCACTATATGACGTCATAGAGTCCAACTAAATTTACACCCCACTATAGAGTCAATAGAGTCAAGTAAAATTTCCCACACACTATGACGTCGATAGGTCAAGTAAATTTTTCCTACTCATGAACGTCAAATACGACGTCCAAGTAAATTTCCCAAACTAATGACTCCATAGATTCAACCACACTTTCCCCCTATGACGTCCACGAGTCACTACAATTTCCCCCCCCACTATGGAACGTCATAGAGTCCAACGCCTAAATTTTCGCCCACTAAGGAACGTCATAGAGTCCAACTAACAATTTATCCCCCACTATGTACGCCATATGACGCTTCTCAAGTAAATTTCCTCCCACTATCTTTGCACGTCATACGAGTCAACTAAATTTACCCCCACTATGACGTCAATTAGCATCAAGTTTCAAATTTCCCCCCTATGACGTCATAGAGTCAAGAATTTCTCCCACTTATGACGTCATAGAGTAACATAAATTTCCCCGACTATGCACGTCATAGAGTCAATGTAAATTTCCCCACTATGACGTCATAGAGTCAATTAAATTTCCCACTATGACGTCCATAGAGTCAACCTAAATTTTCCCCCACTATGACGTCATAGAGTCAAGTAAATTTCCCCCACTATGACGTCATAGAGTCAACTAAATTTCCCCCACTATGACGTCATAGAGTCAACTAAATTTCCCCAATGACGTCATAGATCAACTAAATTTCCCCACTATGACGTCATAGAGTCAACTAAATTTCCCCACTATGACGTCATAGAGTCAACTAAACATTATGACGTCCCAAGCCCACTATGACGTCATAGAGTCCAAGTAAATTTCCCCCACTATGACGTCTATAGAGTCAAGTAAATTTCCCCCTATGACGTCATAGAGTCAAGTAAATTTCCCCCCTATGACGTCATAGAGTCAAACTAAATTTCCCCCTATGACGTCATAGAGTCAACTACATTTCCCCACTATGACGTAGAGTCATAGAGTCAAGAGTAAATTTCCCCCACTATGACGTCATAGAGTCAACTAAATTTCCCCCACTATGACGTCATAGAGTCCCCACTATGACGTCATAGAGTCAACTAAAATTTCCCCCCATNCAGTCCAAAAAAATACCCCGCATTCCTACCCAGATCATCGGAATAGCGTGAATCTCATAATGGCAGCATATTACACCTAGTCACCAATAGAATACGAAAAATGCCTAACCACTAAGAACGAGATCTCAAAGTGAACATTATGGGAACTATTAGAGTCCGCTCCCTCTGACGACTATCATTCACCCTCCAAGCTCATAACAATAACTTAGCTCGCAAGAAGAAGTAGCGGCCAAGAAGGAGTAAAGAGCACAGGGAGAGGGTTGTAGTGGAGGGAAGAACAAGAAACGCAAAAAACAGATGGTTAATAAGAAGAACGGACACAGAAATACAGATATATAGGAGTGGAAAGGCCATGGTCGCAATAGAGGAAGAGAAAAGCACACGTGGCGAGAAATCACAGAGCAACGTATGCCCTCGACAGAGAGTCCGTTCGTGTCATTGTGTCTCTTCTCCGCGGTAAATGTAATGAAGAGAGTGAACACACACACGGTTGCGAAAGCCGGAAGGGAAGGGGTAAAGGGCTACAGACACGAGGAGAACGGACCGAGAAGAGTGGAGAAGAGGAGGAAGGAGGAGTTGCGTCCTACACTTCCGTCAACCCCTCTCACATAAGCCATTTGGGCTTGTCTTGCGAACAGAATCTGGCCTGGCCCTCGATGAACCTCAGTAACGAACGTGGAATGTCACACTTGAAGCCCCTACTTTCACCTCACCTGACCTCTCCTTCTCCTGCCGGTGCTGAAAAGGCCACATGCTTTTCCTTCCCGGTTATAGCAAAGGGTGCCCTATAATTATCGGCCATTTTGTTCTTTCCGTTTATCCGCCCATAATTCGCGTTTGGCAATTGCCGTTCGACTCCAGCGTCCGTTGTCTGGCTTCACGACGAAAGGAACGGGGGGCGATGAGGCCTTTTTCTTATATGTGTTCTTTTCTGCCTCGGCATACTTAACATCTGCACACACACAGATAATATATATACACAATACAGATATCTATGTATATAAATAAATAAAAATAAATATAATAAAATATATATAACTTAATATATATAAATTAAATTATATATAATATATATATTATATATATATCATAAATCTTCAGATATATGTACTATCCAGTATATATATATACTGATAAATTATACAGTATATATATTGCATAGATAATATATTATATATATATATATATATGTATATGAAAATTATTTTATACATAAACCGATAACTATATATATATATATATATATAAAATATACTAAATATATATATTAACCTACCTATCGTTAAATATACAACACACACACACACATATATACATTTACACACACACACACACACACTACACACACACATATATATATTAATAATATATATTATATATATAGATAATATATATAAATATAATATATATAAATGTGTGTGTGTGTGTGTATGTTTGCGCTGTGTGTTGTCGTGTTATTTGCGTGTGTGTGTGTGTTATAAAGTATATTCATGTATATAAATATATATATTATATATATATAATATATATATATATACATATATATATATGTATGTATGTTACATATTTATATACATATATGCATATGTATACACATTATTCTTAGAGACAAAAGATACGAACACATACACATTGTGTGAGCACTTCCACCAAGGACGTGTTTGCATGTGGACTGGAGGGAAATTAACTAGTTGGCATCTCGGCTCGATTGCCTACCTTAGCCACGCCCACTTTGACAGAGCTACTGTTTGCAGTTGGCACTCATACGTAGTACCAAAAATACGTTAGCTTTTTAATATCCTTATATCAGTGTAGTCAGATTTCATTCACATAATGTAACAAACTTTAGGCCTACAACAGACATAAACTACGTGAACTGAATATAAAAATTAAGTGAACTGTTGTACTTGTCATCTGTGGAATCACTGAGCTTAGTGAAAGGATTTCAGAGGTAGGATACTTCACCTGAATCAATATACGGAGGAAAAGTGAAGCATAAGGCACCATCATAACAATATTAAGTAGAATGTCAACATATTTAAATAAACCGCTCTCACGCCTCACAAGCAGCAGCTGTCAAAATGGGCGGGGCTTAAGTGACGTCATCCGGGTGGTGTCATAGCCAGCCAATCAGGACACAGAAATTGTTTCCAATTAAGGATTGTATTTAAATTTTTATTCATTATCAGTATCAGAAGTACAACAAAAAATCAACAATTGTAAAAAAAAAAAAAAAAAAATCGAGGTTTTGCTATTGATTATAACTATGGCTATTGGTAATACCCATTTGACTGTTAGTAATATTGTGGATATTAGCAATACCCATGTTGGCTATTACCTGCTCCTTTTAGAAATTAATAAATACACTATTGCTTTTAATAATATTCACTTTGGCTATCACTAATACTGACTTCCCAATCATGCGAGCGCCCTTATAACATTATTAACTTATTTATTGTCCATGACAAATCATTTCAGTAATACAAAAATGGTGAGGGATCTACAGCCCCATATAATAATGTGATGAAGCAAAAACTGGGATCATAATATACTTCATTCACTTGTAAAAAATAATTCAAAATGCATGTCTTGGAAACAAGACTACCCCCCCCCCAAAAAAAAAAAAAAAAAAAAAAAAAAAAAAAAAAAAAAAAAAAAAATATATATATATATATATATATATATATATATATATATATATTATATATATATACATACATATGGGCGCGTGCATGCAAGGTCTATGCTTATATAGGCCTTGGGCGTGCACACGTATATGTCTTCGGGAAATGGGTGAAAAGGGTATTACAAAACTTAGACTACATGGAAACAAAAATTTACCCTGACAGTTTTCTGTACAGGAAGTGCAAGGAACCATGTCCATAGCCCTTCGTATAATATATCACTTTTGGATTTTTTAGAGTGCACCCTTTGTATTGTTTATTAACATGCACTGTTTAACACAACTTATCACATTAAATAACATAACTTATCACATTAAAGGAGACCGATGCTAATGACAGTGACAGGAGGCCATTTTAGACATTCTGTGACCCACCTGAAAATTTAATTATGCAATTCCTTTACCATGAAGCTGCAGGAACTTGGAAAATACGTTTTTCTCCTCTAAAAATTTTATAACATGCTTCGTCCTTTGCACTGTTATCATATTGTTTTCCAGCATATCGCTCAAGCTACATGTAAAGAACATAAAACCGTACATCCACATTTGCTCAAAGCAGTTCACAAACTCTTCAAATGTGTTACTAACTGAAACTTCATTCTTTCTCAAGGCTTCAGTCAGACTCTGCCAGTAGCTCTCGAGGACGTCCTTCAGGTGTTGCTCATACACCACAGGTTCGCCACTCATCAGCAACAGGGAGAGAATATCACAGACAGGATTGTCGACGGAAGCAAACTGCCAATCAAGGATGACGGCGCTCGTGTTGTCGCCAGAGAACATGACGTTGCCTGTCCACAAGTCTCCGTGGATCAACGTCTCGAATAGCGGCGACCGTGCTTTGATCACAGCGTCCCTCAGGGAGTCAATTGCTGTTAGAGTTTCCGCTGTGCGTGTTCCCTTGAACATTTCTATCTCTTTCTCAAGACCTGCCTTCATGTAGTCGTCGAGAAAGTCTCCAGAGGGAACATCCAGGTACTCCCTTCCATGCTTCTTTATGGTAGCAACTCCACAGGCATGAATAACTGCAATAGAATTCAATGTCACTTTAATCTGTTCTAGCGAGTTCCCCTCTGGCGGGGTGTCCACTCTGAAGCCATCTATCCTCAGGTCGTGCATGACAAGGGTGACGAGGTCTTCCTCCATGTCCGCCCAGTACACATCTGGGACTGGATTCTTCAGGCCGCTCTTCTCGCAGAAAAGTTGAAAGTCATCCGTTAAGACAAACTTGTAAAACTCGACCTCCTTCCTCGCGAGGTTCCCATTCTTCATGAACTCCAATATGTTCTTGTCATTCGGAGCAAATTTCACAGCCAAGGACCTCTCTTCCATTCGGTGATCTGGGTCTTTGAAACACACACGGACGAAGCACATTTCACTCAAGAATCCACTCTTTGTGGGTGGAGTACTCGACGTCCATGATAGGACTTTGATGTTGGATTTCAGCCTTTGTTTCAGTAGTTCCTCAAGCCAAGCCTTGTCGATATCCTTCATGGAACGAATGACTGTAAGTGCTGAGGTTTCACTCATCGTCGGCCAATTGCTGTGCTGCCTCTGTAGGACAAAGAAACTAAATGTAAAGACACACACTACAGCTACACACATATGGGAACAACAAACCCTAAAACAAGAACGTTAGTTTTGCCCCATAAAAAAAAAAAACAGGTTCCGATGTGAATAAATAATGCCCCGAAAATCTGTTACTATAACCTAATTACTGAAGGAACTGAGAACCATGTTGATTTAACACAGTTCAAGATTATTTTCAATTAAATCGCTCAATAGGACACAATAATACAATCGATTAGGCTGCAAGAGCAATTTCTATATATATTATGACAGGATATACATGTTTTCTTAAGTACTAGTTATTTAAAGTATATAATCTATCCAGTGCTCACACTACTGCACGTTACTGATACATAATAAAATGTATTTTCACGTCTACAGGGTAGTCATGCCATCCTTATAAATACCCTCCCGGTTCATAACCCCTTAATTGTCGCGCCCCGAAGCCAAAGCGGCCCCTTGCCACACCATAAATGAATATGAACTGATTATACTGGAAGTCACATTAGCTTAAAGAACAGGTAACCCTAATTCAAATCTGAATTCTGGGCGTATTTAAGTTTCTCTTGGTCGCTTTTAAGGAGAGAGGGAGGGAGTGGGAGAGGGAGAGGAGGGAAGAGAGGGAGAGGGAGAGAGAGGGAGAGGGAGAGGGAGAGAGAGAGAGAGAGAGAGAGAGAGGAAGAAGCAAAGGAAGAAAAGAGGACGAGAGAGGAGACGAAATAGGGAGGGAAGGAAGAGAGAGAGAAATGTGATAAAATGTAAAACAAATCAATTGCTTCAAACATGTCTCGAAACTTTTCCCGACACCGCTGTACCATTTCCACTCCTTCCTCCACACACTAAGCATATTTCTCTCTACGCGACAAGCCGAAGTGTTGTAGAAAGGATGTTAAAAAGACAAAGTTTCAGTAGTCGCTGCTAGTTTGTTACTACTTCTCCAAATCGTATAGATATGAACCCACTAATTAGTAGTTCGAAAGGTTTTCATAAATTACATTTTCTTCCCTTTCCTGTTTATTCTGTTATACACTCATTCTACCTTCCCAAACGGATCTGTCCATTATCTTAGCTACAATATAATAATTTATGTTACGGCATTCAGGGCCTCCTCCGTTTTTCAGTCTCTCATCACTGTTTTACTTTATCTCCGCTTTCAGCTTTTCATCAATATTATCTACTAGTTTCCGCTTCATTTTCCTATTTCCATTATATTTCACTTTATCCATTCCTTTATTTTTTATTCTTTTATTCATCTTACCTCAAACCTCCCTCTGTTTTGGAATTTCAAACGTTCCAAATGAAGCAGAAAATTTTATGAGGTTTAACAATCACAGAATTGTATTGGATAAACGAAAAAATATTTATGGGTATCAGTAAAACACCATATAAAATGTATAGTTTGACTTCTCTTTATTGATGAATACTGAGACTGACAAGGCATGATTGAAAGCATTAATCTCAATAAATCTGAAATAAAATTAATGCTACGATTTGGTTGACTCTACTTATGGATATGGTTCACAATCCTAAGCCACAGACCTGCTCGGAAAAGGAACCTGCGGTTGAGGGATTTCATGAAAGGAAGACAGGATGATAGGCAGATAAAGACAGCCAGAGAAAATTATTTCCCTCCAGATAATATCTACTATGAAATGTGATGACAGCACTCAAGAGACGGTATCCTTTTCTTGATAATGATGAACAACTTTTGTGCCATTTGGTGACTTTCCTTTGGGAAATGACTCTGAGTACTATACTTGATACCTACTTCCCCTACTCCAAAAATTCCCTTATCACTATATATCTATACTAGCAGGGTCAAAGACAAGCATACAAGCATCTTACAATTATGGCAGTTTTCCGAAAATATGTATGAACATGCACATACTTTTCTGAATAAGCAACCGAAACTATGCCATTTCTTTTCCATGGGACTGGAGAAACTTTGACAGTACCTTCTTCTGCTCTAGAAACTTTACGGCATTTTGGCCTCGGTGCAAAGCAGTTATATTGTTATCCAGTAAATCCGGCAAACTTGCTGTAAAAAACATGAAACCATACATCCACATTTCTTCAACACAGCGGGACAGATCTTCAAAAGTGCAATCAACTGAAGCTCCATTCTTTTCCAAAGCTTCAGTCAGACTCTGCCAGTAGCTCCGTAGAACGTCATTCAGGTGTTGCTCATACACCACAGGATGGCTGCTCATCAACAACAGGGAAAGAATGTCACACACAGGGTTGTCAACTGAAGCAAACTGCCAATCAAGGATGACGGCGCTCGTGTTGTCTCCAGAGAACATGACGTTGCCTGTCCACAAATCTCCGTGGATCAACGTCTCGAATAGTGGAGATCTTGTATCAATCATCTCTTCCCTTAAGGAGTATAATGCCCTTAAAGTTTCTGCTGTGCGTGTTCCCTTGAACATTTCCACTTCTCTGTCAAGGCCTATCTTTACAGCGGTGTCGAGAAAGTCTCCAGAGGGAACATCCAGGTACTCCCTTCCATGCTTCTTTATGGTAGCAACTCCACAGGCATGAATAACTGCAATAGAATTCAATATCACTTTAACCTGTTCTAGCGAGTTCCCCTCTGGTGGGGTGTCCACTCTGAAGCCATCTGTCCTCAGGTCGTGCATGACAAGGGTGACGAGGTCTTCCTCCATGTACCGTATGGGGACTGGATGTCGGAATTCTGTTCAAAAGTCGTCGTTATTTTCAAATCCGCCCAGTACACATCTGGGACTGGATTCTTCAGGCCGCTCTTCTCGCAGAAAAGTCGGAAGTCATCCGTTAAGACAAATTTGTAAAACTCAATCTCCTTCCTTGCGAGGTTCCCATTCTTCATGAATTCAATTGCATCCTGTGCAGTCGGAGCAAATTTGACGACCAAAGACCTCTCTTCTGTTGGGTGATTTGGGCCTTTGAAAGTCACTTGAACGAAACACATCTCGCTCATGAAATAATTCTTTGTACTTGGGGGTTTTGATGTCCATGATATGACTTCGACGTTAGATTTTAGCCTTTGTTTCAGTAGTTCCTCAAGCCACGCTGTGCTGATGTCCTTCCTGGAGCGAAGTACCACAAGTGCTGTGTCACTCATCGCAGTCGGTGGCTGAAAGATAACACGCATGTTTATAATTCATGCTCTCTTTCAGTAACCAATATCATAATCTTTATTCCTAATGAAGGGTATCCGTAGATATACACACCTGCACAAATATGCATGTGTGGGTGTGTATATATACAGGGTGTTCAAAAGTTTTCAAAGTAGCAGGCTACCTAGGTCCAAGTAAGGGGCCGACGGCGAATTTTGAACACCCTGTATATATATGTGAGTGTGTTCATATATACGTAAATTAATGTTCGATCTCGCTTTAGTCTTCTTCGCCGACATAGTGTTAAGGAAATCCATATCAAACTGGCTAATTTCCATTCTTGTTGCAACTTCATTTAGCATGA